CCAATGTCTATATACGAATCTTGGGGTAAGATTTGGACATGAATTTCGACTAAAAAATCGGTGTTCAGATTTGAATGCCAGATTAATCTAGAGGGACAACCATGAAGAAAAAGCCAAACTTCGTGGAAATCGGATGAGATTTGACCGAGTTATGGGGGTGGTAATTTTTGACCAATGTCTATATACTAATCTTGGGGTAAGATTTGGACATGAATTTCGACTAAAAAATCGGTGTTCAGATTTGAATGCCAGATTAATCTAGAGGGAAAACCATGAAGAAAAAGCCAAACTTCGTGGAAATCGGATGAGATTTGACCGAGTTATGGGGGTGGTAATTTTTGACCAATGTCTATATACTAATCTTGGGGTAAGATTTGGACATGAATTTCGACTAAAAAATCGGTGTTCAGATTTGAATGCCAGATTAATCTAGAGGGAAAACCATGATTAAAAAGCCAAACTTCGTGGAAATCGGATGAGATTTGACCGAGTTATGGGGGTGGTAATTTTTGACCAATGTCTATATACGAATCTTGGGGTAAGATTTGGACATGAATTTCGACTAAAAAATCGGTGTTCAGATTTGAATGCCAGATTAATCTAGAGGGAAAACCATGAAGAAAAAGCCAAACTTCGTGGAAATCGGATGAGATTTGACCGAGTTATGGGGGTGGTAATTTTTGACCAATGTCTATATACGAATCTTGGGGTAAGATTTGGACATGAATTTCGACTAAAAAATCGGTGTTCAGATTTGAATGCCAGATTAATCTAGAGGGACAACCATGAAGAAAAAGCCAAACTTCGTGGAAATCGGATGAGATTTGACCGAGTTATGGGGGTGGTAATTTTTGACCAATGTCTATATACTAATCTTGGGGTAAGATTTGGACATGAATTTCGACTAAAAAATCGGTGTTCAGATTTGAATGCCAGATTAATCTAGAGGGAAAACCATGAAGAAAAAGCCAAACTTCGTGAAAATCGGATGAGATTTGACCGAGTTATGGGGGTGGTAATTTTTGACCATTGTCTATATACGAATCTTGGGGTAAGATTTGGACATGAATTTCGACTAAAAAATCGGTGTTCAGATTTGAATGCCATATTAATCTAGAGGGAAAACCATGAATAAAAAGCCAAACTTCGTGGAAATCGGATGAGATTTGACCGAGTTATGGGGGTGGTAATTTTTGACCAATGTCTATATACGAATCTTGGGGTAAGATTTGGACATGAATTTCGACTAAAAAATCTGTGTTCAGATTTGAATGCCAGATTAATCTAGAGGGAAAACCATGAAGAAAAAGCCAAACTTCGTGGAAATCGGATGAGATTTGACCGAGTTATGGGGGTGGTAATTTTTGACCAGTGTCTATATACTAATCTTGGGGTAAGATTTGGACATGAATTTCGACTAAAAAATCGGTGTTCAGATTTGAATGCCAGATTAACCTAGAGGGAAAACCATGAAGAAAAAGCCAAACTTCGTGGAAATCGGATGAGATTTGACCGAGTTATGGGGGTGGTAATTTTTGACCAATGTCTATATACGAATCTTGGGGTAAGATTTGGACATGAATTTCAACTAAAAAATCGGTGTTCAGATTTGAATGCCAGATTAATCTAGAGGGAAAACCATGAAGAAAAAGCCAAACTTCGTGGAAATCGGATGAGATTTGACCGAGTTATGGGGGTGGTAATTTTTGACCCATGTCTATATACTAATCTTGGGGTAAGATTTGGACATGAATTTCGACTAAAAAATCGGTGTTCAGATTTGAATGCCAGATTAATCTAGAGGGAAAACCATGAAGAAAAAGCCAAACTTCGTGAAAATCGGATGAGATTTGACCGAGATATGGGGGTGGTAATTTTTGACCCATGTCTATATACGAATCTTGGGGTAAGATTTGGACATGAATTTCGGCTAAAAAATCGGTGTTCAGATTTGAATGCCAGATTAATCTAGAGGGAAAACCATGAAGAAAAAGCCAAACTTCGTGGAAATCGGATGAGATTTGACCGAGTTATGGGGGTGGTAATTTTTGACCCATGTCTATATACGAATCTTGGGGTAAGATTTGGACATGAATTTCGACTAAAAAATCGGTGTTCAGATTTGAATGCCAGATTAATCTAGAGGGAAAACCATGAATAAAAAGCCAAACTTCGTGGAAATCGGATGAGATTTGACCGAGTTATGGGGGTGGTAATTTTTGACCAATGTCTATATACGAATCTTGGGGTAAGATTTGGACATGAATTTCGACTAAAAAATCAGTGTTCAGATTTGAATGCCAGATTAATCTAGAGGGAAAACCATGATTAAAAAGCCAAACTTCGTGGAAATCGGATGAGATTTGACCGAGTTATGGGGGTGGTAATTTTTGACCAATGTCTATATACGAATCTTGGGGTAAGATTTGGACATGAATTTCGACTAAAAAATCGGTGTTCAGATTTGAATGCCAGATTAATCTAGAGGGAAAACCATGAAGAAAAAGCCAAACTTCGTGGAAATCGGATGAGATTTGGCCGAGATATGGGGGTGGTAATTTTTGACCAATGTCTATATACGAATCTTGGGGTAAGATTTGGACATGAATTTCGACTAAAAATCGGTGTTCAGATTTGAATGCCAGATTAATCTAGAGGGAAAACCATGAAGAAAAAGCCAAACTTCGTGGAAATCGGATGAGATTTGACCGAGTTATGGGGCTGTTAATTTTTGACCAATGTCTATATACGAATCTTGGGGTAAGATTTGGACATGAATTTCGACTAAAAAATAGGTGTTCAGATTTGAATGCCAGATTAATCTAGAGGGAAAACCATGATGAAAAATCCTATATCATAAATATATGCTATTTTAGAAGCTATATGTCAGGTTTGGTGACTCTAGTTCTTATTATTTACCAAAATTGCCCAAAAAACAGGATATCGATATCGATTTTTATCGATTGCTTGGAAACGGAGTAAGTTATCGATTATCGGAAACAAACTCGATCTGCGCGGGAGCTAGGAGCACCTACATCTCATTCATACATAGTGACAGACGGACGGACGGACAGACAGACGGACAGACAGACGGGCATGGCTAGATCGACTCGGCTATTGATGCTGATCAAGAATATATATACTTTATGGGGTCGGAGATGCTTCCTTCTGCCTGTTACATACATTTGGCTTTCGCACAAATACAATATACCCTTATTCCCATTTTTAATGGGTTCAGGGTATAAAAATTATACATTTTTTGAGATGCTGTGCAAGGTGAGAAAAAAAATAACACAATACCTAAAAATCAATATTCAAATCATAAAATACTTCAAGACTCGCCCAAATAAATTCAATAAATAACTAATAATACTTTTAAGTTTCTCTGAGTTTAAATTATTGCATTTAACTGGAACAACTTTTGGGCGCGAGTTGTTAACAAAAGATCCGAAAACTAAAGCTAACCTGCATGCATACATTTAATCAAATTTGAAAGCTGATGTTGGGCAAATGTTTTACACCAGATTCCATTGTCTAAATGTTGTGCACAGTCATTTTGTCCGTAAAACGCGCTGATTAGCTTGCTTTTTGTTAGTATCAGCAAATGCATATGCATTAAATAAATTAGAGTAGGTTTGTCAATGTTAACAAACGCAAGCCAGAAATAAACCATGTCTTGAAAGACGAAACATGTTAAGGTCGAAATTAAAAATGTTTCTCAGTTCATCTTACAATGCGATCAACTGCAGAACTCTGCAGTTAATGTATCTTTAAAGAACATAATTAATTTAATGAATTGAATAAGGTTTAAAAAAAATTGATTGATTGAATTATAATAAAGACTTTTTTATGAATGTTTAATGACCTTTTCGGTATGCCGAAGTTTAAATACCCTTTTATATCAGCTTTGTAAAAGATGTTTTCGACTTTGACCAGTTGCCCCTAAAGGAACCATCTGATATAGTCAACCGATTTGACACGGATTTGCTGTTAGGATAGTACAAGCAGTGCAGCTCATAAATGCGGAATTTTGTAAAGAGCAGAAAAGTTTTTAACACATCTCAATTCTTGAACGATCTTTCCTGCAGAGCTATATGATAGCCGCTTGATATTGATAAGATTGCAAGTTTTTTTTCGAGATATTAAAAAACAAATATGTTTTTTATACAGAAACTAATTTTTCAACGTATTATTCCTAAGATAAGATGAAGCAGATATGCAAGGAGTGTAAAGAAATAATTATATGAAAAGTTTAGTTAAAAGATAATTTCGTACAAGAGCTCAATTTTCGACCAAATATTACAAGCAGCAGAGGGACATGACTATAACGATACGGTTGTTGATACTGATCAGGAATATAAATATGTATATACAATTAAGGAAGTGTCTCCTTCTATGCATTACACATTATAATACCCTCTAGAAAGCTGGCAAATATGTTTTAATGTTTTTATTCAACTAATATTAGATTTATTTGATGATTTGCTTCTCTTTAATTTCATTTGTAGTATACGTCACTTTATCCATAGTTGTTAAGTAAATTAACTTTTTGTATAATATGCACTGTTAGTTATTTTGTAGTTTAGTTTAATTTAGTTTACTATATATACGCATATATCATATGGGGTAATGGTGTAGTAGGTATTTATATATATATATATATATATATATATATATATATATAAATTATTATCATAATTGTTTTGCAATGCTTCTATAATTGATATCGCTCGATCCAATAATCGAACATTAACAAATCGAACTGGCATATATCGTACTATACAATTAAACTAAAATACTTAAGTTGTTGTAGCTGTTGTTGAAGCGACTCTAGGAGCACGTAGAGCATAGGGTCAAGTAAATAGGAGCCTAAACTTAAAATAAATATATATTTAATTTAATTAAAAAAAAAACCAACGAGTTGACAAATTTCCCATAGTTTTTTGTTGTTGTAAAAGACTCTACGCTACTTTTATATATATATGCACTTTTTGATTGCGTGTGTGTAGGTGTGTATTTGTGTGTGTGTGCTTGTGTGTGAGGATTGAAATTTTCAATAAGTCGCCTTAAACGGGGGCTAGCCACATGCCCCCCTTTAGCATAGGACATTCGCATACTCTACACATTATACATTTCTATATAGATCAACTACATTATATACAAGCTTGGGCGGTTGCCGGCGTTTGTTATGTATCATAATCATCCTGCTGGGAGCTAAAGTAGCTCACCAGGCCGCTAAACTCGCCGACACCACCGCCCACGCTGTTCGCTGCGGCGGCGGTGCTGCTGCTGCCGTGCGCCGAGCTGGAGTCCTCCTCGGCCACGGCTGCTGGCGAATCCGCTGTTGTTGTTGTTGTTTCAGCTAGCGGCGATTTGGTATTGGAGTAGGCCTCCAGTGTGATCAGTTTCTTGCTGGTTATCACCGACGGTGGCGTGACGGCGGCTGGCGGTGTGGGCGGTGGTGCTGTTGCGGCAGGAGGAGGCGCAACAACTGGCGCTGCTGTTGGTGCTGGCGATTTGCCGCGCGTCAGTGCGGATACTGAATGATTTGTGGGCGTGGCAGGCGGCGGAGGCGGCGGCGCACTGACAATCACTGAACTGGGCGCAGCAGCATGCGCCGGCGGTGTGCTCAATGGTGGTGGATAGTAGCCATAGGGTGGATAGCCGCCTAAATAGTGTTAAAGATTGATTTAGAATTGAGCTAGTAATTCACATATTGTGCTACTTACGCGCACCGGCTGCATAGTCGACAGGGCCAGGTCGCATATTGGCGCTGCCGGGCGGTGCCACGCGCGGCGGATAGTTGGGATTCCCATAAATAGGCGGTGCTCTATAAGCAAAATATATTATTAGAACGGAAATATAAACTTAGCTGACAGTCTTCAACCTACCTGTAGGGATTTAGATGCGGTGAAGCATGCCGCGCCGGTGGCGGACCGGCGCCATAGACGCTGGCCAGGGAGCCAGGCGGCGGTGGACCGCCATGATGCTCCGGGCCGTGCAGATAGGGCGGCGGACGTGCATTGGGCCCACTGCCAGGCGGTGCCGCCGCAGTCGACGTGGGCGGCGGAGCACCACGCAATGGCGGCGGAGCGCCATAGGTGGGCCGCAATGCGGAGCTCGGCGGCAGCGGCTGGCCATAGAAACGTGCCAGTTCCGCGCTGCTCGGATACATGCCAGCGCCGGGCGGCGGTTGTGGTGGTCCGCGTGCGTGCGCCGGCGGCAGCAGCGAGGCCATGGGCATGCGCGTTATGACAGAAGCCTGCGAGACGTTGACCGACGGCGGCGCATCCTCGTGTGGCTTGAAGAGCTGTGGCGGCGCTGGCAGCGACGACGGCGGCGGGGGCGCCTTACCCGAAGCTGCTGGCTTTTCGTTGCCCACTGAGGATGTGGCGGCGGTGACAGCGGCAGCGGTTTGCTGCTTCTGCAGTTGATCCCGCAGTGGCGTGACCTTTTTTCGACGACCACGCGGCTTGGAATCGGGCGCCGGCGCCGGCGGACGCACATTGGCAGCTGCAGCGGCGGCCTGCATCAGATGCGCTGCTGCAGCAGCCGGCATGGACATGCCCAAGGGCAGACGCTGCATGGCCGACAGCGGTTGCTGTTGCTGTGCCGGCGCATAGTTCGCGCGACTCAACGGCTGGCCCAGCGGCGCTGAGAGAGCATTCTGCAGCAGCTGCATGGCCTGCGGCGGCGGTGCCAAGTGCCGCTGCAGCATTGGATGCATGCCTGGTGGCGGCTGCTGCTGTTGTTGTTGTTGGCCTGGCGGCGGCGGCGGCAGCAGCGAGGCGGGCAGCCCACCTGGTGGACCATGCGGCGAGAACTGATGACGCAGAAGCGGCGGATGCATTGTGGGCATGGGCAAGCGTTTGCGCATCGGCTCCTGAAGTCCCGAGGCGCTGGGCAAAGTCTCCGGCGGCGTTGTTGGCATCTGTTTGGTCACCTTCGCTTTGGCTGGCGTGGCATGGCGCAACACCTCGTCCGGTGGCGGCAGGTCACGCACAGATGACTCCGAACTTAACTGCTCGACCACCATACGCGCAATGGCATCCTCCATATCCTCGGGCAAGTCGGGCAGCTCGGCATCATCCAGCTCCGAGTCCACATCGTCTAGATCATCAATGGCCTCGCCCTTGCGATGCAGATAATCAATGTCCAGCACCTTGGCCTGACGTATCACAGACAACGGCACCGTAGACAGCGAATCACCTGCACCAGGAGTAGCGCCTGCTTTGCTGGGCGTGCGCTGCTTCAGCTGCTGGGAAGCGGCTGCTGCTGCTGCGCCTGCTGCTGCTGTTGAGCCCTTGATGGGGGTTAGGCGTGGCGTTGCCGCTAGCTTGGCGCCCTCGGCATTCTTTTCGGCAAGCATGCGCTTGATCTCCTCCTGCTTTTCTATGAACTTCTGACGCTCCTCGGGCGGTGTATCCGGTCGCTGTACACCCGGCTTGATGCCGCCATCGGAGCTGTCGTCATCAAAGTCCTCAATGTAGGCATAGCGACGGCCTCGTGTACGCGTACGCTCATCGGAGCCGCCGCCGCCGCCGCCATCGTCCGAGGAAGCCGCCTTCTTCTTCTTCTTAGTGCCCTTGCCTTTGCCCTTGCCCTTGCCGGACGACTGCGCCTGCGCCGACGTTGCTGTCGTTGTTGTCGTCTTTTTTAAGGGCTGCGAACGCGGCTGTTTGCCGGAACCTTTGCCCGACATGGGCGCACCATTGGCACCCATCTGGACTTCATCGTCATCATCCTCTTCGTCCTCCTCCTCGCTCTCGCTGATGTCATCGTCCGAATACTCGAGCTGTTTGGTCTTCTTGTTGGCGGGCTTCTTCAATTTGGGCGACTTGCGTGCAATGGCCATGGAGGATTTCTTGGCGGCGGCTGCCTTCTTGCGCTTCGATGGATGCCAGGCGCCGTCCTCGCTTTCGCTGGTCGTGTCATCGCACAGATCAGCGCTGTCCATGTTCTCCGACAACTCGGAACCGTTGTCATCATCGTCGTCGGTTTCCGTTTCCGTGTAGTCGGAATCCTCTTTCTTTTTCTTCTTTTGTGATTTGCTGGACTTGGAGCGTTGCTGTCGTTGCTCCTCCTCGTCGCTTTCGTCGCTCTCCTCCACCACAAATTTGCGATCCTTGCGGCGCTCACGTGCCGCACGTCGGGCTGCCTTGCGCTGCTTTTTGCCACGCCCGGGCCGGCGATAAACCTCCAGACTGGAATCGGAATCATCTGAGGCAGATTGCGAGCTATCCTCGTCAGAGAAACTCGAAGTCTTAAAGTCCTCATCGCTGCCATGATCCTCCTCGGAGCTAACATCCAGTGTGGTCAGCTTACGTGCCTTCTTTTTGACCGGCTGAGCCGCCTTGCTCTTGGACTTGCCAACCGTTTTCAGTGGCTGCTCATCCTCGTTGTCGTCGTTGCTGTCATCCTCGTTGCTGGATTTGTGCTGCGTGTCGGACGTGGTTTTTGCTGCCTTGACCTGCGCCTGAACGCCCTCCTCGGACTGATCGTCGCCCTCCTCTTTGCGTCGCGTCTTCTCTTTGTCCGCCTCGATGATGGTGCTGATGTCCTTGCCCCTGCCCAGATTCCCAGCCCCCGCCACCTCGTCCATCTCTTTCTTTAGCGCCGAATTGATCAGATCATCGTACTCATTGAGCCGATAGCTGACATTGATCTGCCGACGCTTGCGCAGCTTGTAGATGGGCTCATCGTCCGAGTCCGAGTAGCTGCTGCTGTTGCTGCTGCTGCTGGAACTGCTGCTGGAGCTGCCCCCCGAGCGTGCGCCTCCCGCGCCGCCCGACTGTTGTTTGCCGCTCTTTGTGGCGCTGCTGCCGCTGTCCGATGCGTCGTCCTTGCCACCGCGACGGCGCCGCGTGCCGCGTTTAGCTGCTCGCCGATTGCTGCGTCCGTCTCCGCGTCGTCTCTTCGTCTTTTCCGGCTTGGATCGCTTGTTGGCCTTGCTGGAACCATCGCCATCGTCATCGTCGTCATCATCATCGTCATCGTCATCCTCATCGTCCTCGTCATCATCTTTGTCATCCTTCTTCTTCGCATTGGATCGCTCCTCCAGCTCGCTGGCGGTACGCGCAGCTGCTGCGGCTTCCGCTTGGCGCTAACAGGTTAGGATTTTATATGAGTCAAAGCATTAAAGCAGTAAAGTGGTAGGGAGCTTGGTTTCTATCAACTGCAGATTCCTAAGTTTCCTTTACGATTCCATTGAAATGGGGCGAGTCTAAAAAATATCCTGTTCCAGGCCTAAATTACCTCAATGTGCATTCCTATTAACTTTTACGCATACAAAGAGCTATTTTTCCATATTTTGGTGTGCGTTTCCGTCTTGGACACTTCGAAACATTCCAACATCCTTCCACATCCTTCCATATCCTTTCATGCATATAGGCGCAAAACACACAAACACACACACGCAGCAATTTATGCTTTCTCCCCTCGGCCCAATTAATGGGAAACGCATTATTGAATAATTTTTAAGAGCCTAATTTTGACACCCAAAAGCGTGCATATACCAAAGCGTAAGACTCTAGCTATAAGAATTCGATTTTTGGGTGCCTTTATCTCTTATAAGCTCCGAGATATAATTGAAAGAACCCAATCTGAAATCGATACTTATCGATTTGATGAAAATATAGTGAGCTTTTGATGATTTGCTACAATCTTCATCTACCTGTGCAATAGAAAGACAAATTTGATGTCTGTAGCTCCTCAAACAAGAGCTCTTAAGCGGGATATACCATAAAACGGAAGGTTGATATCTATTTTTATCGATTTCGTAAATATGGATCGTTATCACCAAACTGCACTTTTCCTAGATGGGAAAATGTGATTTGCAGACTCTGAGATCTTAGCGTTTCTACATACGGACGGACGGACACAACAGGTTCGAAGAAGACAGACGGACAAGCTACATCGATTCCGGTCTTCGTTGAGATCATATGTTTTGTGGAGTCGTCAGTTTGAATACCCTCTCTTAGGGTACATACTAAGTAATAATTGATTTCATGAACATCGAAAAGGAATGTTAGCTTCTTGGAAGTAATCCTCATTTGGGATCCAAGACTTTCAAACAACCAAAATAATGTAAGAGTGTACGTGAAGGATAATCTTACCACCGCCTCCTCTGCCAAAAGTTTCTCCTGGTGCTTGCGAGCAACCAGATCATCGAACTGCTGCAGCTTCTGCTCGAGAGCAACGATGAGCTGCTCCTGCTGGCAGGGCGGACAATGCCAATCGCCCTCGGGTATGTAGAAGAGCACGGGACTGAGACAGGAGCAGTGATAGCCTTTGTTGCAGCCGGGCGTATCGCACAAGAGAATCCATTCGGGATGATCCGATTTGCCGCACTTCTGGCACGCTTCGTCCGCATCTGCGGCGGCTGCGTAATCCTCATTATCGTCGGCGTTCTCTTTGCGCAATGTGCGAGCCCGTTTCATGGGCACCACTTGGCTGTCGTCCTCCAGTTCCGATTCGGGTGAGAATTCATGATCGGATTTAAAGAGCGGCGAGCCGGGATCTGTCTCATAGTGTGGTGGCTCTTCCTCCTCCTCCTCGGTTTCAGCCTGCTCTTCGGAGTCCGAGGACCAGCCATCCTTGCCGGGGCATTTTTTCTTGATCTTCTTTTTGGTCTCTTCGGCCTCGCTGGCCGACTCGAAGGACTCAGACTCTGCCGAGGGCTCTAGCACTGTGGGATCCGCTTCCTTCTCGGCCTTCTTCTTGTTCTTCAGCTGCTGTTTCATGGTGCGCAACGCTACTTCTTCCAATTTGCGTCGCTCTGCCTCTTCCTTGATCTTCTGTTGCGCTATGCGACGCGATTGACGCACCGGCGTCTCCGAATCGTTGGTGTCAATTATGTTCGTGGTGTCCACCTCACGCTTTTTGCGCGGACCACGGCCACGCCCCACGCCAGCTGGTTTTGCAATCTCCTCCTTGGGCTCTAAACTCTTTGGTTTTTCCGCTGGCTCTTCAGATTCTGCCTTGGTTTTACTCTCTTCCTTGATCGTTAGCTCCTCCTCAGCGAGTGGATCACTTTTGGATTCCTCCTTGGGTTCCTCCTTTGTTTTAGCTGCCGATTTGACTGCTTTAACTGTTTGTGGTTGCTCCTCCGCCTCGTCCTTTACCTCCTCCTGGGGCTCCTTTTCAGTTTTGAGTGGATCTTCTTTGATATGCTGCTTGTTTTCAACGACGGGCTTTTCTTTGGGGCCACCCCTGGTTCGCTTGGGCTGCGGCAGCTCCGAATAGACTACTGCGGCGCCACCGCGACGTCCAGAGCGCCGTCCCAAGGCTTCGGCTGGTGGTGGCGTATCCTCCTTAGCAGCTGGTGGTGTTGCCTGCTTGACCAGCTGCGCCTCCTTTTTAACCGATGGTGGCGTCGCTTGCTTACCGGGAGGGGTTGTTGCTTTTTTGACTGGTAGCGTTTCCTGCTTGACAGAAGCAGCTGCTGCTGGCTTCACGGGAACAGATGCAACTTCCTTGACGGGTGGAGGTGTTGCTTGCTTGATAGGTGGAGGTGTTGCCTGCTTGACGGGTGGAGGTGTTGCTTGCTTTACGGGAGGAGGTGTTGCTTGCTTCACGGGAGGAGGTGTTGCTTGCTTCACGGGTGGAGGTGTTGCTTGCTTCACGGGAGGCGGTGTTGCCTGCTTGACTGGTGGAGGTGTTGCCTGCTTGGCGGGTGGAGGTGTTGCCTGCTTGACGGGTGGAGGTGTTGCTTGCTTAACCGGCGGCTGTGATGTTGTCTGCTTCACTGGTTGTGACTCCTGAGGTGCTGATGTGGGCGGTTCCTCATCGAGAAATTGCTGATCATTGTTGCGCTTGAGTTTCTCGCTAATTGCGGGCAACTCTTCGCCAGCACTGGCCTCCTTGGACTCCTTGGCTTCCTCGCTGCTGCGCCGTTTGCGTTGCAGTGTGGACTCTAAGCCTGGGTTAGCTGTCACCGGAGCGACAACTGTTTCGCTGTTGGTGCGCTTTCTGGGTATGGCCTCCTCGTCGCTCTCCTCCTGACGCATTTGGGTAAGCAAATTCTTTTTCAGTGGCTTCGTAATGGGCGACTTTTTGGGCGGTGTAAAGGGCACTGGCTCGACTTTTGCTGCTGCGGGCGGCGTGATCTCGTTGACTGGCTGCGTCGTCGTCGTTGACGTCGTCGCCGGATGCGGCGGTGGCGGTGGCGGCGCCTGCTGCTCGGGCAGTTCTTCTTTTGGCTTTTCTGGCGTCTTTTTCAATTTCTTCTCGATGATTTCGGCCAGCGTGGGCTTTTGCTTAACCGGATTGGGCTTCTCCAGGTGACGTTTGGGCGCAATGATCTTGCGGCGACTGCGCGCATCTTCCTCGCCGCTCGAGGAGGTGGTCTCCTCGATTTGTGTTTTCTGCGCCTCCACCTTGCGACGCACCTCAACGTTGGTGATCTTTGGGCGCATCTTGATTCGCTTTCCGCCAATATCCAAATCGTCATCGTTGTCCAAGGTATCCAAGTGCTGTTGTTGCTCATCCTCCAGCTGAAGCTCGCCATGTACGTCCAGTTCGCTTTCGGAAGTGGACTGACGCGCTGCAGGCGCTGCAAACTCGGCCAGACGACGCTTGCGGTTGGGCAGCAGCATTAGTTTTCTGTCCTGGCTCGCGGGCGCAACACTTGATCCTACAATATCTGGCTTGCTGTCCTTGGTTGCCTTTGCTTCACAGCTCGGCTCTAGGGATTTGTTTTCTACAGGCTTTTCAGGCTTGACGTTTTGATTATCTGTTGGGTTTACGACCCTCGAGGTGCTAGGCAATTCACTTTGTACTGTCTGCGTTAACTTTTTGTCGTTGCCACTCTCAGCAACCGGCTCACTAGCAGGTATTGATATTTCAGCAACAGCCGCAGCAGCAGCGGTTACGTCGGCTTCAACGATTTTTGCTCCATTTGCAGCTGGTTCAACAGATTCGCTGATAATTGCAACTGCCTGCTGTGGCTCAGTTTGTTCGTTTGCAACCGTTTTCGTATTGTTTTCCAGCGTTTCTTTAGCTGGTTCAGCTGCAGGTTCTTCGGGCTTTTCCGCTGCCGTTTCTTCTTTTATGGGTTTGGGCGTTTCTTCTTTGTCAGCATGATTTGTGTTTAGTTTTTTAATATCTTCCGTTTTTTCAGCTACAGTTTGAAGCTTCTTTCTGGACTCCGATTCATCTGCCTCTATTGTTGATTCGGTTTTAATGCTTTTCTTAACAATTTCTAGCGCTTCGTCTGCCGTTTCTATTAGCCGCACCTTGTACACTTGCTCGACGTTTTCTTCGGATTTTTCAGGCTTTTCCTCCTTTTGTTCATTTGAGATTCCTTGTGTTGCACTCGGCTTTTCAGTCGCAATTTCGACTGGCTCTGGTGCTGACTCCTTTTCTTCAGCTACAACTTTGCCACTTTCAGAGCTAGGCTGGAGTTTTGTTTCCAGCTCTTGCTGCTGCTCCGGTGATTCATTTCCATTGAGCACTGGCGCCACGTTCTTTTCGTTTTCTGCCGGCTTTAGGCTTTCTCCATTGGTTTTTTCTGGCTCTGGCTCTGGTTCTGGCTCGCCTATGCTATCGAATATGCTGCGTTTTGTTTCCTGCTTTGGCGTCTGTTTTATGGGACTTAGTTTAAGGCAGCCTGGCTCGCCGAAAAAGAACGTCGCCTTTGGCTCGGTCTTTGCTGCGGGCTCCTCCTCAGCATTGGTTTCAGTATTGCCATTGCCAACCAGGCACTCAGCGCCGCTGCCTGAGCCGAGCACATAGTAGAGCGGTTCAACGATTGTCTCGCCCACAGGCGCATCCAATTCCTCATTAGCTGCAAAGTCGCTAAGAAACTGTACATATTCGGGCAATGCCTGGCAGTCACGACCGGCTCCCTGGCCTCGAACTATTAACGTGGGCTCTTCAATGGCTTCGCCGACTTCGTCATCTTCATCTTCATCCTCATCATCGTCGTCATCTTCATCATTTTCATCGTCTTCGTTAAATTTTCGCTCGTTCTCATCCTCGTCAGCAGCAGCACTATCAAGGGATTCTTCTTCGCCGTCAAGCGATTCCTCCTCCTCCTCCTCGCCCTCATCCAGCTCCGAGTCTTCCGAGTCGACTTCGTTGTCATCTTCGGATTTGGTGCTCTCATAGCGACTTGGCTTCTTAATACGTTTTGTGTCCAACAGTGTGGGTCGCTGCTTCTTATGCTGTTCCTCCGACGCCAAAGGTGGACTACCGTCCGAATCCTCCAAAGGCCTCTTCTTAGCCGGCGCTGGCGAGCCGCTCAGTTTGGCCTGTGTAATTAGCAGTGGCTGCAATGGATTGTTGGGTAATTAGAGTATTTTGGTAAATTTCAGCTTATATACTCACCTTGACTTTCTTGGGCTTCGGTTCCGGTTCCGGTTGCTCCTGCTGCTGCTGCTGCTCTGGCGTGCGCAGCTTGATCTTCAAGTTGGGCACCTTCGCCTCGTGCGAATCATCATCCTGTTCCGACCGCTGTTCTGTGGTTGCAGCTGGCGGCGGTGCATTGTGACTGCTGCTGCTGCTGCTTGTGGTATCCTCATCTGCCTCGCCGATATCCTTGGAGGGCAGCACCACCTCGTTGCCGCGCAGGCGTGCAATTAAATTCACAAATTCATCTCGATTGGTGGCCACCACCTGCCATATCTCCTCGTCCAAATGCTCTTGATAAATGCGCAAATTGCAGTCGCCATCCTGTGTTAGCCAGTACGCGTGGCCCAAACGATCACGCCCTATTGGCTGTGCACGCAATGTGCTCGCATTTTGCGTTAGAATATTCGCACGAAATTTGGCATTACGTTCGAATTGGCTCTCAAGCAGTTCCTGCAAGCAAAGGATTGAAGGATTAATATCAAACTTTTGAATTGAAGAAGGAAATTGATTTGCAAACTTCCTCTCCCGTCTTGATACTCACGCGTAGGATACGCAGCTTGACCTTCAGGCTGGAGTTGCGATAGCCGAATCGCTCAATCTCCCAGGCATCCTGCAGGGAGTAGCCGAAACAGAATTTGCTTACCGATGATTCCCAACTTTTTTCGTGCACCGTTTTGCGTGTTTTACGCAACAGCTTAATGTGCAGATCGCGCAGTTCGGCCACTGAAAGAGAAAAGCAGTGTATGTGTGCAAAGTTAATCGAAATGTTTTGATTGTTGTTTTTGTTTTTGTTTTCTTTTTCAGCTGCATTTTTTACGGTCTCCGCTTTGCTCCATACCAAACAATAATACAAACAAGCAAGCATTCCTCTCGCTCGCTCTCTCTCTCCCGCTCTCTCTAAATTGCACACACACACGCGCATATACACTACTCACACAGTTGCACACATATGCACGCACATACATACATACATACGTACCTTCATCGTTGTTTGTCAACCACTCCTGCAAATGCTTGAAATTTGGCAAAGCCAAGCCCAAATCTTTGGCAAATTTTTGCAAAAATGCACAAATTACCGCAAAATCTGGATCGTTTGCACATGAATGTAGCGTTGTGGTTAATGCATCGTCATCTTTATCTTTACATTCTTCTTTACATTCAGCCGTAGCTGAAGACGCCGCCATTTTTCATGCGTCTGCTGAAAAAATGTGTAAGGGCCTCAAAATCTTGTAAACTAAACTTGCAAAATAGCAACAATAGTACAAAGAACGCACAGCATTTGTTTTAACTTCAAGTACACTTAATGCACAGAGTTTTATTGCACGAATTAAGCATAATTTTAATTACTTTTATACTATTACTTTATTTTTCGACGCATGAGAACCGATAGGCGACCGATAAACTGTGGTGGTCGGACAATTTACCCACACTAGTGATGAGCAAACTTTACTCACTTAACGAAACTACTCGATTGGTGCTGAACAGCTCAATTATGCATTAGTATATTAACATTTGTTTGAAAATGTAACAGAAGCAAATAAGAAGAGCGTAGAAAAACAACAAAGACGGACAAAAACAAGGTTGAAAATCGAATTTGTAGCTTAACATTTAAAATATCAACATACAGTGTTATCTCTTTGTGTATTTTTGCGTTTTTCAATGTGAAAAGAGCAATAAATAATTAAATCAAAATCGAATTAAAGCAAACGAAAAATCAAAACGCAAGTGAAAGTGTGTGAAATACGATATTTAACATTGATAAAACAGCTGTAACAGATTGCTAAAATGGCAGCATATCAAATGAATTTTAACCAGGATTTTACGTAAGTTACAATAAATTAAGTACCATATCTCTCCCCTCAACAAACACCAATAGACATATTCCTTCGATATAATAAAGGTCATTGTGGCAAAAAAAAAAAAAATGCAGCAAAAAAAAATCTCTCAGATACACCCAACGACAAACGAGACAAGTAAACAAGCGTACAGCTGCTGGGAGCGGGGGCGGTGACGGCAGCGGAAACAATGGCAGCTAATAGCTGAACTGTAACAGAGCCTATCAGTACGAATGTGTGTGTGTCAGAGTGTGTGTGTGTGTGCATGTGTATGCGAGCGTGTATTGGCGTCGTTTTGCTTATTAGAACATGCAAACAACCAGTTCTAATAAGAATGACATGCATACATTTATTATGAAATATAGGTAATGGTAAACTAGTCAAGAACACTAGCCAACACGGTAAATCACCAAATAAGCTACAAGTGATTGGTTATTAATATTTATTGTTATCAAATTGGGTCCATTTAAGCCAAAGTAAATCTGACATCATCTTAACATTTACAAAAAATGTTAAGGCTCGAATGGTTCGTTTTTCTAGACAGTGTAATTAGCTTGAATGCACCAATACACCCACACAAGCACACACACACGTACTGTAAATGCGCAACAGCTGATGCTGTCTTCTTTTTATATGTATATATTATTTTATTTGTTTTGTTGCTGCTGCTGCTGCTTTTGTGACTTGCAAACTGAATAAACTCGTTTAATTAGTTTGAAATTTGTTGTTGTATGTCAAAGATTGTTTATTTTTGCTCAGCTGATGTCATATTGAGGTTAGCTTACTGGCAAAACCACCGTTACATGCTAACACAAAACTATTAGACTGCTCTCCCGTTCTCTCTCGCTCTTTCTCACACTGTCCATGCTGTGTCCCCGCGTAAAGTGCAAGTGACGCACACAGAAGAGCAGCAACAACAAAAACAATCAATAAATTGCTGCTTATTGCGAAAATCCGAAAAAGAAAACACTTAAAGCATGTATGTATGTATGCGTACATACATACATTAACGAACGCACACCAACAAACAAACCTGATAGTCGCGCGTCATAAAGCGAGAACAAAGAGCTCAAGCAGCGAAAAAGAGATAGCATGCAAACGCTTTCTAATCAGAACGAATCAATTAGCTTTTAAAAGCGCGACGCGGGTGAATGCACCGCACAAAAAAAACTAATTAGACATTTCCCTTGCATTTGATTGTCAAGTTCAAGGGCACAGGTGCTGGTGCATGGGGGGGGGGGGGGGGGGGGGGGGGGGGGGGGGGGGGGGGGACTGATAACAGCAAGGCATAAAAAAACACGTGTTGAGAAGCTGCCACTGAATAGTGCAGTTTAGCATTTCATAATATTTTTGTTTTCATGTTTTTGTTTACACCAGCTGTTTACGCGGTTTGCCTTTTCGCTTTATTTTCTTTTATATACCCTGCTTATACGCTATCTGAAGAGTTTTTAGGTTGTGAGACAGTTCGTAACTCAATTTACTTTCGATAAGTTAATGACTCTCTTTCGCACATAAGCAAAGTGTATTCAAGCTTCGGCTTGCTTCTTTTGCATTTAATGCGAATGAACCTGCCCGTGCACTTTTGGCAGAGCTTTAAATTTATGAGTCGATTGTGTTTTTATCATGCGTTTTACGGCTGTGATTCGAGTGCGTCATTTCACAATTTTACACAAATATTATTGTTAATCATGTGTAATACCAAGCTTTAGTTAGTTGTTAGTAAACAACACAAAAAACCGCAAACAAGGCCGTCGTGTTATCGGTTTGCAAAAGGGGTCTGGGTCTCATGCAGCTGAGTGTGACCTTGAGCCCCTTTTGCGACGACGCTTTTTGCCGAGAAACTAGTTTTGATTCCCAAAAAGAAGCAAGAAAAAAAACTAAGAAAGCCTCGTCTGAGTCGAAGCACACACGTGTTGCGCTCAGCATGAGATTTGCTGCTCTCATATGAAGAAACGTGCCTGAAATATAATTTGACATAAATATCAAGCACAAATGTTTCCATGGCCAACAACGGTTGTGCATAAAATTAAGTGCAAAAAAAAAGAAAACAATAAAAGCAAATCAAAAGATTTTTTTAGCTGTATTCAAACTGAGCGCTCTTGCGAACGCTTTGCAACACTGACGCCGCTGACTGAGTGTGCCAGTGTTAGGCACAAAATAAATACCAAACAAAAAAATACCAGATCGCAGCAAGCGCACGCAAAACATAAACAACAACAAAACAAACTGCATTTGACATTGAAAACGCGGAAATTGGAAAATAATTGGATAATTAAATACCTGAAGGGTGTGAAAAATCAATCGCTACATGCAATGGAGCAGCGCGCCAATTTCCTAGCCCTGACGCTGCTGGACGCACTCGAGGACGAGAACGAATCGGACATATTCTCCATGCTGGACCGAAACACCATCAATGCCGGAATTGTGCCCTGCGAGCGCGGAATCGCCCCGCTGCACTACGTGTGCGGCATGCCGAACGAGCAGCTGGCCGTGCGCATACTGGAACGCTTCCTCGCCAGCGACCAGCTGGACGTGAATGTGCGCTGCGACGGCAACATGACGGCGCTGCACATAGCCGCAATCTATGGCCGGGTGGAGCTGGTGCGTCTGCTGCTGGAGCACGGCGCCCGGCCGGACATCGAGGACGACGAGCACAAGCTGGCCGTGCACTATGCCATTGACGAGTGCCACTTCGAGGTGCTGCAGCTGATGCGCGACCACATCCTCAGGGAGAAGCAGGCGCAGAAGCAGAAACAGCAGCAGCATGCGACGCCCAAGTCGGGCATCAAGTACAACCATGACGTTACCTCGCCCTACTACATCAATATAACGCACAGGCGTGGCAGGCCGCAGCCCAAGTTCCCAGATATCGGCGACCCGGAGGAGTCGGTGAATCTGTTTACCCTCACACGCGATCATCTGGCAGAACTGACGCACAGCCAGGAGGAGGCGTCCTGTGGGCGACGCACGCTAATCGAAAGCTGGCGCGACAAGGTGGAGCGTTCACGTGCACGCAAATCGCTGCTGCAGACAGAGCATGTCGAGACGCTGGTGGAGCAGGCCATGGCCCAGCCTGACTTTAGCTTCGAGGAGCATGTGCAGCAGGCGTTGCGCCAGGCGGATGAGCAGCGCGAGCAGCAGGAGCAAGCGGCGCCAACTGAAGGCAGCAGCGCCGCCTTCGGCCAGCTTGTGGAGCAAGTGGCGCAGGCTTGCGTGCTGGAGCAGAGCTTCCACACAGCCCCGGAAGAGCCCGCGCCAGACAAGTCCTACTATCTGCAAATGACCGAAGCCTATGTGCACACGGACGACGAGAATGGCCTAGTCTTCTATGAAACCAAGCTGCTGCAGAATGTGCCTGAAAAGCCGCCCACCAAATCCAAACAGCGGCTGGCGCCGCCGCCGCCAGCCAAGCTGCAGCTCGACAGCAGCGCTAGCACCAATGTGAGCCTGCCGCTGGACTACGAGACGGATGCACTGCGTGCGGAACTGACACAGCTGGGCGCCCCGCCCGTGGGCCCCATCACGCACACCACCAAGCGGCTGTACATCAAGCAGCTGATCAAGTACAAGCGGAACACGGCCGCTCTGCTGGCGGCGCAGCGGCACGCGAAGGCGGCGCAGATCAAGTACTCCGTGGAGCTGCATCATACGCTGCGCTCCCAGGCGGACTTCGAGCACATCGAGCGGTATATGGCGCACGAGTGTGCCTCTGCGGCGCACTTTGCCACGGCTGCGGCGGGTGGACGGCAGCTGCGCGAGGGTCATCTGAAGCAGAGTTTCATTTATATGTTGATTGATCCGCGCATCTCGAGGAATTTGCCGGGCGAGCGCAGCTTTCTCGATCCGCTAAGCATTTGGTCGCGCTTTCTGGATGCCATTTTCTATGTGGGCAAGGGCAAATCCTCGCGGCCGTATGCCCATCTTTATGATGCAATGCGTCAGCATACGCGCGCCCATCTGCAGCAGCCGGCGACGGGAAAGAAGGGCCGGGCCGGACGCTGCCTGCTAATGCCGGAGATTTTCAAATCGCCGCCGCCGCCGGGCAAGGCTGGCAGCAAGAAGCTGCAGCGCATCCTGGACATTTGGCAGCATGGCAGCGGCGTCGTGTGCTTGCATGTTTTCCACAATATTCTGCCCACAGATGCGTACACGCGCGAGGCTTCCATCATAGACGCCCTCGGCCTCACGCACTTGACGAACATGAAGCGCGGGGATTACTATGGACCGGCCCAGATCTGGACCATGAAGCAGAAGAAGCAGCTGGGCATCGCATTGCTGCACAAGGCCATGCACATCTATTTGGCGGAGGGCGAATCGCAGTTGTCGCCCAGTGATTTAATTTAGGAGTTTTTAGCAATAAGTACCAAGTACAAAGTGTAAAGGTGCGGCAAGGCTATCTTATACCCGGATCTCAGTTCAAAAATGTGTGTAGCATAATTAAATAAAAAATCTCATAAGAATAGACAAAATAAAGAAATGACCTAAATAAGCACAACGCTGGTATTTACTTGTTTTTGGTATTTTTTGTCATATATAGCTGTCACACTCTAGCGCACGGCTGCTACTTGTTGCTGCGGCTTTTGTTGTTATTTAATTTATATATTTACGCAATAATAATATTTGGTATATATTAACCTTTTTGGTAACAACAATTGCATAATGCACATAACTATATTTTTTTATATTAAATGAATATTTAGTAACGGCTTTACATGCTTTGCTGTGCTGCCAAACAATAATGTGCGAAGTTGTGCGAGTTCGAATGCCAATGCAGGCATATCGTAAAAATATTTTATTAAATATTTTAAGTAGTCAAATTTATTTTTCAAATTTTACTTTTAAAAAATGCCAAGTTTCACTCCTCGTTTAGATTGTTTAAACTGCATTTGAACCAGCTGTCACTGACCAACAACCCTCTCAAGTGCAATCTACCCTCCCCACAGCGGCACCATCCCTTACTCCATACATTAACAAAAACAACAAAGAGGGATGCATTTGCCGGCAAAATACGCACAAACAACAACAAAAATGCAGCCCAAAAGCATGCTATACAGTTGGCAACAACAATACGTTTCACAGCTTGGTATATTTATGTGTATGCCACTTAGAATTCTCAACTGGTTGTAGCTGTACGCGCATGGAGTAGTCGTTGTTTTGCAGTGTTAGGTTATCTTTGCGCAGAGGCGATATCGTAACCAATGAAGTTCTACTGAGGTGCGATTATTGCTAGTTGAAAACTTTAACCAATACCCCGCCATGGGGACGTGAAATACCGTCCACTACGGCAATTTTTGGAAGCCCGAGAGGGCTAATTAAGTAATAAATGTGATGTGAGATTGTAAAGCCGTGTTTAATGATAGGTGTTCAGCGTTAAGCCTGTTTCAGGATATTTATCTATATTCGGCAAATGTTGACTTGGCCATTTTTTTTTACGCATTTTAAGGCGCAAATCAAATTAAGCTACTCTTAATATTTGATTCTAAGCAACACTGATTAGACATTATTACAGCAGAAGTGTTGAGTAGTGTTTAAGAAATATGGTATATTTAATATACTGAGCGTATCTCATTACTTACCGCCCACAGTTCCCTATCGGTGCTGAGCAGCACTGGTCTGCGTCTGTACTCGATTGGAGGCCAGGATAAGGTCGAGGAGATCTTTGCCAAGGAGAACACAGAGCAAATACGAATTGTGGAACGGCTATTCAACAGTTCACTGGTGGTGCTGGTCACCGCACAGAAGCCCAACTGCCTGAAGATGCTGCACTTTAAGAAGAAACAGGACATTTGCAACTGCTTCTATCCGTCGGAGATACTGTGCGTGCGCATGAACCGCCAGCGTCTGATTGTCTGCCTGGCGGAGAGCATACACATACACGATATACGCGACATGAAGATCCTGCACTCGATTGAGAATATAGCGCCAAATGAACAGGGCCTGTGCGCGCTCTCGCTCAACTCCCATTTGGCGTTCCCCATCTGCCAGTCCAGCGGCGAGCTGCGAATCTTCAATGCCCACAAACTGCGCACGGGCATGACGATTAAGGCGCATGACACGCCCCTTTCGGCATTGACCTTCTCGCCCAGCGGCGCACTGCTGGCCACCGCATCCGAGCGCGGCACTGTGATACGCGTCTTCTGCGTTAAAAATGGCCAGCGGGTGCAGGAGTTCAGGCGCGGCGTGAAGCGCTGCGTGCGCATCGCATCTCTGGTATTTGCAGCGGGCGGTGACTATCTGTGCGCCTCTTCCAACACGGAGACGGTGCATGTCTTCAAGATCGATGCCCGGGCCGTGGAGGTGGCGGAGCTGAAGGCCATTGGTGAGTGTTAAGTCCCGAACAGAATCTATTCCAGAAAATTGACTGATTGCTTGTCTTACAGCTGAAGTGGCTGCCAAATCGGACAAGGAAAAGACGACGACGACGACGACGGCGACGACGACAACAGCGACTGCGACTGCGACTGCGAGCGCGGCAGCTGCAGAGGCCGCAGCTGAGGAAACGCCCGCAGCCAGCTGGGGCGGCATGTTCACCAAGGCGGTGTCCTCGCTGCTGCTGCCCGCCCAGGTGAGCGATGTGCTGGCCCAGGATCGCGCCTTTGCTACGGTGCAGCTGCCGCAGCCGGGTCTCAAGAACATCTGCGCGCTGACGCGCGTCCAAAAGGAGCTGCGTCTGCTGATTGCCTGCGAGGATGGATTCCTCTATATGCACGAGTTCAATGCGGAGCGCGGTGGCGCCTGCAAGCTGCTGGCGGTGCACGATCTGCGCGGCGCCCTGGAGGATGTCATTGAACTGCAGCTGAGCGAAAGCGTGCTGAAGACGCAATCAAAGACGCTGCCGGCTGCACTGCCACAGCAATCGCTGACCATGCTGAAGAGCTGTGCGGCCAGTGTGCTCATCGAGAATCCAGATCCCGTGGCGGACAACAGCTATGCGGGCATACTGCGCGGCGAGCAGGCGGATGCCATGTCCGGTTAGTTTAGAATATAACCAAACCAAGTCACATGGTCATCTTTATTATTATATTTTGTAGATTCCGCCAAGTTTCGCAAGCTGTGTGATGCCATTGACACGCCCACAAAGCTGTACGATGAACGCCAGTTCCCGCCCGTGGCAATTACGGCCAAGGACTGACGACCACGTCGGCACAGCCAAAGGGACATTGTGTTTCTGGACAAATCACAGTGTGATTAAAAGCGCGCGCTCTCTGCATTTCTGAATAACCCAAAAAATATGTTGAAAAATCTTCAAAAAAAAAACGTACCCAAAAAAATTTAGCAAAATATTTAAAGCAATTTAACTAAGTTACCACAAAATAATTTTAAACAAAAAACAAAAAAAAACACAAAATACTCGAAAGAGAAAAATTTAAAAAAAAGTATTTTAGTTATATGTCATTAATTTTTTTGCTCTGTAAATTTAATTTGTTTGCAACAATTTGTATATAATTGTAACTAAAGTTTCTAATTAGACTTCCTCCGAATATCTCATTCCGTAAGCTTTGCTCTGTCCCTCTCTCTCTCTCTCTCTCTCCCTCTATCTCTTTCTCTCACTTATCAATTATGAAAACTTTGTATAATATAAATATTTATTAGTAGGCGAGAAGCAACGTTTTTCTTTAAGTGCATAAGTTATAGTTCAAAAGAAGCTCAAAAATCCAAAAAAAATCCAAAATAAAAAAAGAAGCTGGAGAGAAAAATAATCAACTAAATGTACCTTAAACACTGAGCAACAAGAAACGTATTCAATTAGCTTTGCAAGTAAATATTATATGTGTAACAATAAATATTAATTAAATATTGCAAATATTTATAAAAAAAAAGCAGTAAAAAACTAAGTATTAAAAAAATGTATGTTTAAGAAACCGAAATATTCACAATATCGAAACAATTAGATTTAAACAAGTTATACAATCTGAGATTCGCAATCAATTATCTAAAAATATGTTCAAAACCGAAAAACAAACAAACAGCAAATCTAAATCAAGTCAATATGCCCAAAACAAAAGCAGAAACAAATTAAAGACAACAAAAAAATATTTAAAATATTAAAAACTACAAAAAAACCGAATTTTGTACAAGTACTTTCAATGGGGGCTATAATAAAATCAATCATATTGTTAGAAATACATAATACTTTATAGGGTAGGTTTTTTTTTGTCGAATTCCAAACAGTTTTAAAGCCATTTACGCGTTTTGTTTATAAATCGAATGGAGTTGTTTATAATTCAAAATGATTTGTAAATGCATTTTTGGTAATTTTCGATTTTATACAAGCTTTAATTTTTCTATTCGAGAAGCGAATTAAATAACATAATTATTGTATTATATAATTATAGAGAAACTCCATTAACAAAATAACCAGATGGCCTAAAAACTCTTTGGTAAGTTTCTAAAGTCAGTTAAGAACTGTTTAAACTCCATTGCTCAATTTGCTGGCTCGCTGATCCAAATTTGGCTCCTGTTCTTGGTGACGTTGATGATGATGATGGTGATGATGATGATGATGATGATGGCGTCGCTCTGGTGGACGTTCCTCCTCCTCCTCCTCCACCGGCGGTGTGGGTTCAATGCTCATTTGTGTGGATTTATCAGATTTCCAACCAATTTCAATGGGAGGCGTTGAGGCCTTTTGAGATTTAAGCGAAAACATAGATCCAATCTTCTTAAGCCTGCTGTGCACGGAGGACTCTGCCTCGTGATCACCGGCGCTTTTTAGACTCTTGCTGGATACGGCCAAAGACTTGGAACGCGTTGAGTGTGACTTGGATTTGGATGACGAGCTTGAAGACGTTGAGGATGAGCTGCTGGAGCCGACGCTGGCGTGCACCGGTTTGGTGGTTATCCAGATGCACAGCGCAAACATCACCTCCGCCTTGAGCGCCTCCTTAAGCGAGATCTGTAACAGCAGCTGGGTCAATAGGGTCAATTTATCAAGTGCGTAAGCACAGCTTACCTTCTCTTCGATGGCCACCGTTTTGACGTTCCACAGAAACTCCGTGCAGCCCAGCACCATGGCTGCAAACAGGCCCAAGCCCAACACCAGAAACACACCGCCGACATTCTCCAAGCCCAGCTCGGGCGTATCAGCGTTCCCTTCCTCGTCGCCACCACAGCTGCCGCCGCCATGCATCTCCTTCCACCACTTTCTTTTCAGCTCGGACAGCACTCCCAGCTCACCCAGCTTCAAGACGGCGCCACTAATCTGCTTGCGATAGGGCGAATCTGTACAAGAATCGAAGTTTTAACCTTTGAACTCTGATGGGGCAAATGAACTTACTAAAAGGCATCGCAATGCCATAACTCTTATAGTCCAGCCAGCCGCCAATTTGCATTAGGTCACATTTGCGCTCCACATTGTACTCCAGTGTGGTGGACTCCATTAGGAAAGCGTAACGATTTTTCCCTTTCTGCGATTCGAACAAGTTTATTATTTCATTGTGAGATTACATACATATGTACATAAATTTAACTAAACTAACGGAACAGTTAGAGAGGGAGAATACGCACTACTAAAGCGCGCTCAACAATTTGGCATTTAGTTTTCTTTATTGTTGCCCGCTTCTTCTATGCGCTCTCACTCTCAGAGAGCAAGAGAGTTTACAGTTTTGTGCGATAAAAGCAAAATTTGTAAAGCAAACGCACCGCGTCTTAGATACCCTCAACAAAAATAAAACCATGTAATATGGGTTATTTGCACGGCCTCGTGGCAAACCCTTTTAATAATTCACATTACTAATCAATCGAAAGGGAATTGCAGCTTGTGCATACATGCACACATAGAATTCAGCGATCTATTAGACACATTATGTGAGGAGAGCACTTAAATTACAGAAAAATTGGCGCTCTCTCTCTCTCTCTCTCTGTCGCACAAAACTTACGACTGTAAAACTCTCTTCTTCTGTTAGAATGTCAGCTAGTTTAGGACGCGCGCAAAACCAAAGTTGTGGCGGGAAATGTCGTGCAGTCTTATTGTTTTTATAAATTTAGTGTATTTATTAATGTAGCCCTCCATTTGTGAATTTTAGTTAAAAGAACACCGTGCCTATGCACACATAAGAATGTGTTATTAAGAAACAAACATAAAACTATTGTGCGCGTTTTCGTAAAATTTACATACACACACATGTATGTATATATACACACATACATATGTACATATATATCTACCTAAATTTATTCTCGCTGGTAAGTGGTTTTATGGCTTAAACTTGAAAGTATTAAAAACAAATATTTTTAAATCAATCAATTTTGAAATAAAACCTAATATTGATGGTCATAAAATGTATATACTAAATGCATACATATGTATATTTATTGAGCATTATTTTAAGCAGATGCAATGTGACGTCACAGTCAACGATATTAAAGCGCTGAATTGCGATTCTGTGCGTAACCATTTTTCTTTTCTCCATCTTTGCTTAACAATGGCTGACGATAGGGAGCTCGCAATAAAAGCAGCTGCAATGTTCGTCTCTTTTCTTTGCATGTATGTTTCATATGAGCTGCGCACTCTTATTGCTCCGCTCTGTTTTGCTGTTGCTTTCTAACTTGACTTACTTGCTACGACTGGCGACTACAGAGAACGCGCTACAAAATCAGTATTTGTCTCCTTTTCATGCACGCCATTTCGTATGGACACGAATTCTAAGCTGTTTTATAGCAAACGATCTTAACAGAAGGCGCAAGCAAAACGAGTTTCCATGCGCGCTGCTGTTGTTGTTTTACTTTTTTGCTTGTGCCTGGTTGCTGACCTACCTGCACACGCTCCACGCCCTCGTCGTTGGTTTTAGTAAAAACAGATGGGGTCGCACTTTCCATGGCCGTCCACATGCGTTGATAGGTGCTGAAATTGGAATCCCTGAAGAAGCCCATTGTGGAGCCGCCCAATAAGGCGCCATATTTGATCTTGTTCTGGGCAGCCAGATCTTCGGCATTGCTGATCGAGCTGGCTTGGCGGGAGTTGGTCAAGAAAGCAGCCAAGTTGGCTGTGTACGAGTTCAACATCATGAGTGCAAAGAACCACCACATTCCAGTCACAAGGCGCGTTGAGGCGGCCCTGCAAAGGTTGAGAGAAGTTGTAGTTGTTTTTTTTTTCGATTTATATTAAATGATTTTTCTCACTTGGGCAATATATCGCAACCCTGACCCATAAGGGAGCCTATGGACAGCCACATTGTATTGCTCAGAAACCATATATTCTCTACCTCCTCCGGCTCCTTGCACGGATGCGGATTCTCCCAGTCATCCGGCGCCATGCGTGCCAACGCGAAGAGCAATAACGATATAAAGAGATACGCGGAGCCCATATAGATCCAAACATCCAGCGAGAAGGGCGACAGAAACGAGAACAAATCTGTCGGTGGTATTGGTGGCTTTGAGAATAATATACTTATGCCCAGATTCATGAAAGGCGGCGTAAAGTCTACCGCCTGACGGCGGGATGAAGTCATGGTCAGATCACATATGCCCAGATCCGCATTCTGGAAAGAGTTGAAAGTTTAGAAAGGAACGTTTGCAGTAAAAATGTTTATATTCAGTAGTCGTAGTACTTCCGCAAGTTTCTAATTGGACTCTTGCTTTATTTTATATATGAATATTTGGACTCACGCCATCGATTAGCTGTCTCACGATGCCATCCCATGTTTGGGTGGCTTTGTTCAAGCTACCATACTTTCCGTCTGGCGACATCCGGAACTCGTATTTGAAATTTAGCATGCGTGCAATATTGTCAATCAAATCCATGGAGTAACCCTCGTACCGGGCATTGCCCAGCAATATTTCGCCCTCTTCGGGCTCGCGCATCGTCAGGAAGGGCGCTCCGATGCGCGAGGAGATTATGAACGTTTTGTTCGATAACTTTTGGCCCACACGCTTCTCGCTCTCTTCGTCATCGTTGAGCATATCCAAACCATTGACCGGATCCCAGGTGGCCAGATCCAGGAAGCCACCAGCATCGATCTCCATGAAGCGCAGACTGAAGAAACTGCGCTGTCCGTATTCGTTGAAATCTATGCGACCCGTGGCGACCTCCTCGGACCGCTATAGGACGGCAATATAGTTAAGTGGAGTTAGGGTTTTGATAGCTTCCTCTGGAGATTCAATCGTACCGCTTTCATAAACTCAATGATGCGCCTGCCATGTGGCCAGGGCTTCTTGCGTTTGCATTCAATTTCCGGTGCTGTCAGCTCCTCCATTATGCCCAGCTCGGTGAGGCCTTTAGAGAAGAGCCAGACGGCATCGTTAACCAATATCATCTGCGTCTTCACCTGTGTGGGCAGCACTTTAAAATAGCGTCCTTCACGCTTCTCGCGCTCCTCCCAGTCGTGAACGACGTTCTTGATGTGATAGTCTGTGGGATCCATCAGACGGACGGTCGTAATGTTTGCCTCCACGTTCATAATGTCACCAAGTTCCAATGTGTGCGTATCCAGCAGGGGTATAAAAACGCTCTGTGAAATGAATAAAAATCTTTGTCAAAAGAAAAAACTTATAGGGAATCCTTACCTGATATTCGCCCAGCATTTTAAGCTCGTTGGCTTGCTCCAAAATTCTCAATAGATTTTCCGGTCCACAGTGCAATATGAGACAATTGTCGGTGGACAATTTAATTTCCTTTAGAAATGGCCTATGATCGTCGTCTGGGCCCAGCTGTCGAATCGTAGTCGGATTACTGCTCGGATCTCCAATTTGTAGAACATCCTGCAGCTGTTGCAGCTCTGTTGAAAGGCAATAGAAATAAGCCTAGAAGCTTTCCGATCTCAAAACGAACGAAGATTAATATTCGAAATTTAATTTTCGTCCAGTTTCGATGTCAAAGTCGACATTTTTACACTATATTTCACCTATTTTTCACTTGAGTGGGTGGAATTGCCATTTTTAAAGTGTCTCAGCTATACAACTGTGTAAAGCTTTAAATTTGGGCTTGATCAGTTAGTGCATTATTAGGCTGCACTTACCCTTCTCCGATTCGTAGATTATTGTATAGCTGCGCCAGCCGAAACTTTGCACGAGTTCGGCAAATCCGCGCGCCAGCAGTAAATTATCGGGATGCACATTGAGCGTCATCGAGGAGAGTTCGTATTGCTGATTATGTGGCTGCCAGTCGTAGACAATGTGCGGTATATCCAGAGTATGGCAAATGGAGGCAATAATATCTAAAAAGATGCTACAAGTGAGCCACGCAAAAACCCATGAAGTCGCGGCATCGAAAACTTGCCTGAACTGCCGCCCGTGCTGGGCCCAAATATGGCAATAACACCCTGCGAAATCAGATTACAAACTGCCAGCAAACGAGTCTAGATATTCGGTTATTTGCCTGACTAACTTGAGGCTTACCCGTTTTCTCCATTATAAAACTGTCCTCGGTATTGGCATAGACCACAATTGGCACTAGCTCTATATTGCGCTCCAATATATTTGCCCGATCCACAGCGGTGCGAAAAGCTATTTCCGCCTCATCCTTATCCGATGTGAAAATGCTGCCTACAAAATATTTGCGTACACTTTTAGCCAAATTCAATGCAAGTGACCTAGTTTTCTATTTTTCTTTTTTCTCTATTTTGTTTTTACGAATTTCTTTTGGGAACTTACCCACCATAAACTGCTCCCTGGCTGCGGCCCAGTGCAGCAGCAGCAGCACATATGAATAATATTTTAACCACATTTTATTGATATTTTGGCATTTTATTGGCACATTTTAAGTTGATTTTTCTCTAACTGATGATGTAAAACTGGGCAAGAAAATGCCACAGAACGCAACTATGACGCTCGGAGGTCTCCAATACAATGAGCTATGTTGCCCATACTATATAAAAGCTGAACAACTGAACTATGCTAATTTTAAAAGATATCTAGCAGCATGAGATCCATCCAAAATCTCTCAGAGAGCGGTCGAGAGAGCGCCCTCTGTTGTTTGTTGTGCTAAACATATTCTAAACAACGGGCGAGCGATTTCTCAGAGATCGGAAAGAATATTCTTTGTAATACTATTTTTCTTGGGCTTTTGCCAGCGCTTAGAGTACCTTTTACTAATATCATAGGATTTGATGTACAATTGAATTTATAGCTGAGAATATATATACATATATAGAAATAATTCTATACCTTCTTGCGCACAATATGATCGTAGAATATCATTGTGCCGTACTTGGGTGAGATGGCCGTCGATCGGCGTATGTTTTTGGCAAACGGATTGGGTTGACCACCGACTGGTAAAACCTTCTGATCACCCTTATGCATAAACAACATTCCATAGCGATGGTCGTGCAAGACCCGAAAATTATCGCTATCCGAATAGTTGAGCATATTATAGCGTGGATTACTGTAGCTCAGATGATGCGGCATCGGTCGCAGATAGGCGGTTCCCTGGAATATGCCCGGCCAGTTCGTATGTGCGTGGGCATTGCGCGCCGCATTCGTCCAGCTCATACCCAAGTCAAGATAGCCCGATATTTCCGAACAATAGGAGCTTGTATACATGGTAAAAACAATTGTCTATTGGGCATTTTGCTTTAGTTTTTCTAATATACCTATTTGCATATACATATGCATATACTTACCGCCAAGTTCTTGGAGTATATGGGCTCCTCGCGTCGCTTGAACTCCAGCAGCACTGGATCCTTATTGGTTGGCGACATAAATGTACTAAAGGGCTGAATGCCCATTATTTTTGGTCGTATCGCTTGCATTGCCAAATCGTGCCGCCTCAGGAATTCCGGTTCATCGTAAGGTATCTTCGTGGAGCGATATCCCAATTTGGCAAGGGAAGTGACCACCCTTTGACTGCCCAAATATAGATAATCTTTTTTGGTCGAAAACGACTTAAGATAATCCTCATGGGTATCATAGTCCAGTACGCTAAAGTCTACCATTTTCTCGCCCATTTTGATGCTTTTCTACAAGGAACAGCTGTCAGCAGCATTCCGAAGAGTTTTATGCGCAAGGACTCACCTATTTTTTTTTGCTTTCGTGGTTTTATGTTTTTTTTTTTTTGTTTTTTTTATATATTAAATATATTTATTTTATTATTGTTTAACAGAACGCGTAACTTAACACACTCTGAAGCTATTGTTGCTAAAATTCTAGTTAATTTCAATAAAAAATAACGAAGCCTACTTTCATATAACTGAAAACTAGCCCAAGCTCTAGCCAGGAGTTTTTGGAGCTGCATATGGGGTAAAAATACCTAGAAGTACAACTAACATGGCTAAAAACAATTGGTAAAAAGATAAAATATACTTGGGGAAAATCACAAAAATGATCTTAATAAATCAAGAACTATTAGATTATCTAAGCTAGTTTGGATTTGTGCAGTTATGCATACATATATGCATTATAATTTATATATCTATTGATTATCTAAACAATAGAACATATATATTTTTATACATATATGTATGCATATACTGCACAAGTTGATCTTGAGAGTATCTCGAACTTATCTCAGGGTCTTCTCTCTGGCCTGGCAAATCCTTCGCACATTCCCTATACTCAATCTAAAATTGTTTGCTTCATTTTATAAACTGAAGAGCGTGTTCTTAATGCAAGTTCATTTGGTCTACATAGAGAATGAAATAAAAAGTTAGAACCTTCTTTTAAACTATGCATAAAACATTGCTTACCAATGCTGGGTTTCGTTAAGTCTTCGAGTCTTATCATATTCATGCCAGATAAAATTATTATGGACTGGATATATATGGTCAAGGCATATTCGGAAAGGCTTCGGATTTTGTATATTTTTACGGCTTAAATTGCATTTTGTATTATTGATCATTCAATTGGGAACGGTGCGTTCGGTAATTGTATTCGCCTATAATAAAATCAGAATGTCAAGCAAGTAGGTTGTTGGACTATCATTGTATTTGAATGATATCGATACTTTGATCACCATTTTAAGTGTTTCGGGTGGGGTGTAAAAGTGTTCGACTTGTGCTTTGCTTGAAAAAGCAAGGCTATTCCGATGTTGCATCTTATTGAATCATTCTTATTTCAAGAGCTTATTTATGACTTACAACATCTCAAGTGCTGCTCCACACTTTAAACAAGGCTGCAAAACGAATTTAAAGCCAATTGCAAACTTTTTTTTATTAACTATTTCAACGGCAGCAATACAACTATAAAAGAACAAAAGCATACGATGTGGACTTGCCAGCTAAACGAAAAATTGTTGATAGATTCGAGCGATGCGTAACTATCGGAACCATCAGTTCCTCGGCATGACTCAGACAATTTGAAAAGAGAGGGCGATTTGTATTGTTTGGAGAAGAAGGAAAAGCAAGAAAAGCTGGAAAAGAAAAAGATCCAGAACCAGAAAGCTAGAGTGCGCAGGCAAAATTTCAATTATAAAAATGTGCATTTTTAGTAATTGGAGAATATATGTTAAATAAATGTGAATGCCGTAAAAAATATTCGAAAAAATGCAATATGTGTATGAGCCTAAAGTAAATTATAATTATAATTTACCTTATTACTTATGGGCGAGCGCCATGCCCGGGCGGCAATGACGCACACTTGATACAATGAAATGAATTCATTTTCTCCCAAGTGTTCGCGTTCGCCCTGCAAAAAGAAAAGATGTTATAAAATTGTGAATAATGGCAAGTGTTGATTTATTAAATGTTTTTGTGCAAGCAAGAGTAAACATGAATTAAAGTTGTAAGGCCCGTCCGGATTTGGAAGTTGGTAGGTGCATTTATGACTAACTCATGGTGGGCAGGGCTTCGTTAGGGTGGACCTTAACAACTGTCCGCCGTATGCATGTCTTCAGGTTGCCCGATTGTTTGTGCTCGAAAAGTAACTGAAATTCTTTAGCCCGAGCTTAAATAGAAATTATTTTGTTAACCGAGTCGGTGCGGTTCCATTTATCGGGGTCTTACTCACCCCTGGTTGATCTCTGTCTAGCGGGCGAATCGAAAAAAGAAATGTGAACGACAAGTCGGAACTAAAAACCAAACCTATAACAAACCTATAACAAAGCAAAATTACGCAAGCCCATTTTAAAGTTGAATATGATCATGATCTGAATCGAACAGTTTTTTGCTAACTATCCGATCGGCCTCAAACTCATTTTCAAATATCTTTGTTCAAATTCATTTGAGGGTTGTTTATACAAAGAATCCTTTGAGATCCTTCCTCACTTTTCGAAGAATCCAAGCTTCCTCAGTAAAAATGCGATTCAAAGACTTTTTGGGCAAAGTTTTAAGTTTTAAACGCAAGTTCTTTATTCGTGCGGAACATTCTTAGCAAAAGGGCAGAAATGATTCCAACATTTGGTTATTTATTTGATGCGCTTTAAACTTATTTTTCAAAAGAAGTGGACAGCAAGATGGAATTAATGGTAATATCTAAAATTGTAAGCTCAAAATGGAAGTGTACAGAAAAGGCCGGCCAATAGCCGCTGCCATATAAAAAAGAGAAAAATAATTAGCAAAAGTAGCGAACGTTTTTTATATAGCGGATTAGCTGCGGATGGGGCCGCCACGCAATATTGATTGTCCATAACGCGAAATTCGGCACGACATTGGCACACGCCCTTCAAACACTGCATCCGAGAGTCATGCAGCCGGCCCTCTACATCCAGCTCAAGGCAGTCCTCGGTAATGCGGAAGTTAATGCCGTATGGCACACGCGGCTCGCAAACGGGGCTTGTGTGATTCGGTTTCATTTTTGGGATGTGATCGCTGCGGCAGCTGCAGCGATTGTCAGTGCAAATGCTGCCGGCGCCGAGCTGCAGCTGGCATGGTTCAGCAGAAGTACATTGGCCACCAAGTCCAACGCCCGTTATGCAGGTGGTCCTATCGTGATTGGGCACATAGCCCGGAATACAGGCGCACTTCATACCTTGTGGCAGACAAATTGAAGCGCCCATATGTTCGCATTGCGTTTTGTTGCTGCAGCTCAAATCTGTGCATGGATGTTGCACATTAGTTTGAATACTTGAAAGATACTTTTGTCGAAGAAACACTCACCCAGGAGCCCTAGGCACTTGCCCTGGTGCTGCTCAAAGTTTTCCATGCATACGCAGCGCTTTTGCGACTCGTCACAGACGGCATACGTGTCCGACTGCTGACATTGGGCCGACAGCTCACACGCTCCACCTAAGTTCACCTGGAACGGCAAGCAGCTGCATTTATCCCCACTGGCCGTATAGTTGTCGGCACAGAAACACTGCGGCATTCCCTCCCCAGCCCAGCCCAACTGGATCTGACTGAAAACTCCAAGCAGCAAAATTAGCGTTAGCTGCATTATAAGTCTAGCTTTTAACGTTAACCAGACAAAGAAGTATCACCAGAGACAACGGAAACACGTTCGATACGCGAAGCTGTTAAGAACTGACTGACTGACTAAACCACATGCAGGCGGACTTTTGAAATATGCATAAGTATTTCGGCAACGACTAATATTTGAATCCTGGTCACACTTAAGTCTTTTGTTTTGCTTTGTGCTTATTCTTATTCTTAAGTTTACCATTCTCTGTCGCTTATGAACTACCGAACAATGTAGACGTACAGATGCGTAATAAAAAGAAAAACCTATTAATCCGGTTCAGTTTCCTGTTTAGTTCCACTTTAAAAACATAATATAACCAACACGGACCATATGATTTGTGCGATCACATACTCTCAGCTCTCAATGTGTGTCTCCGATACTTGTGAAAACGTTTCTTCTAAGATGACTCACAATTATTATTATAATATATAATAGTTGCACACTAAATACAAAGTTATATTTTTTATAGACATTAAATAAAAATTTATAAATAAGATGGTTTGTGCTATTGGTTACATTGCTTAAGAATAGTTAAAATACCCTATTTTGCTGGTCGAAAAATGAAAAATGATAAAAATCTGACGATCTGCTTGCAAGTTGAGAGCGAGTGGACATGATTATGCGAATTAGAGAGAGAGAATTAGAGACTGTAGCCTCAAACAAAAAGGGTATGCTATTTTCGTTGTCGTGTCGTGTGTCTTGATTATGGTTGTTGTTCTTATGGAAAATGTTTTGAAATTGTGATGTGTTTGCAACCTTGTTTTCGCTCAGGAAGTATTTCTAAAAAGAGCTTTTGATCCAAACGCCGGCTCTTTCTCTTTATTACTCAATGGCGTGGTGCTAATAAGCTTCTCTCCGTCGACTACCAGTCAGAGCTGAAAAACAATCGATGCGACAATCGATTAAATCGATGTTTTTGGTGTTTTGAGAACCATCGATTTTTTTTTCGATGTTCGATGTTCTCGATGTTTACCCAACGAATCAAGAGCACATTTTTCACTGGTTCAAAAAGTTTGGATTTTTCTGTGCTTCCCATGTTTCTCATTCTTTCGTTTGGCTTTTGGAGAGCGAAGAGCCAGTCAGCTGGCGTTTGTTCTTAAGTGGGAAAAGCTAGCCAGGCTGGAAATTTTGCGTCGCATTCAAATGTGTGCGCGTATACTACAAAATCCTCTTCATTATATACAAAGATATTGAATCCATTTTAGTATTAGCTCTATAAAATATTTTTCTTATCCCAGCCTATCTAAATAGGCATATTATTTTGACCCTCTTTTTCGCTCTCACTAGCTTTATCTCTATCTTGTATGTATTATTTAATGGAAATCCGTCAAAATTAAACTTGAAAACATCAAAAGCGCAATTTCAGACAAATTTCGAAATCAAAACAAGTCTGCCAAGATCGGACAACAGCAAGAGCATCACAATATTTGGCACACAATATGAAAAGCCGCTGACAAACATAATTATGGATATGTATACAAAGAAGAAAATCAACATAAAATTACCAAATAAAAAAATAGAGAGGCTAAGCATGAAAATGCCGCCTACGTCATCGACTATGCCACATGGCATACATGACACACGGCACTTCCCCAAGAGCAGCGCACACTGAGAATTCTCGGAGGAGAATTCGAAAGATTGCCAGTTGGAGAGCGGACACAGTTGGGCCGTGCGGTCAGTGTGCGTGCTTAGCGCTCCAAGATTGGATGCCTGCGGTCGCTTGGAGCAACATTTGAAAATATAATAAAACAATACAAAAAAAAATTTAAAAAATTTCTTGAAATTTTACGTAATTTTGTAGAGGTGTGTGCGCGCCTGTATTTATATACATATGTACTTACTACAAATGTATATGTAGCTAAAAAGTGAACAACGAAATGGCCGCTGCATTTAGAAAATTCAATTAGAGCGCGTTTAAGCAGAACATTTTATTTTGTAGAAAAATGCATTTGTATCCAGTTAACATTTATGTGGTGTTCTTTTTTAAATATGCCCTCGCCATTGCCGCTGAGGGGCACACAAAAATCACAGTGGGTACGTTTCACTTAATAAAGGAAAAAACAAAAACAAGAAAACAAACAACAACATTTTCTTGTAGGCGCTATTTTCTATGAAAATGAAAAGGAAATCGAAATGAGTTTCGATCAGGCCTTTCGCGAGGTTAACAACTTAAAGTTCTCCGATCTTCAGTTTCTGACGATCAAACGTTATATGCCCACCAACGACAGTTTTCAGCTGCAACAGATCGGTAAGTGTGACCCCGTCATATAAAGCTTATATAGTCAGTCACATTTTCTGTATAGCTTGTGAACTCATTTCCAATGGCGTTGCGGCTATTTTTGGGCCAAGTTCAAAGGCAGCTAGTGGTACGTAATGCTCGTGCTCTGTACTCATTGATCAACAGATGTGTTGATTGTATTTTATAATCGCTTCAGATATTGTAGCGCAAATCGCAAACACGACCGGCATTCCACATATAGAATACGATTGGAAACTCGAGGCTACGCGTCAGGAGCATTTGAATCACCAAATGACGGTTAATGTGGCGCCCTCCTTATCCGCATTGTCGCGTGCCTATTTCGAGATTATCAAAACCAACTACGAGTGGCGCACATTTACCTTAATCTATGAAACGCCAGAGGGTAAGTTTGTGCACAGACATTTTTGGTAGAAATTTATGTCTTAACTGCAACAGGAATTGCAATTTGTATTCTGTAGCTAAACGCTAGCCCAAGTTACATGAGGTCATTGAAATGAGAAAATCGAATTATATTATTATTATTTTATATCATAGTTTTTCTCATCGTTTTGTTTACTTTCAGGACTCGCTCGCTTACAAGATCTTATGAACATACACGCCCTGAACACGGACTATCTTAAGTTGCGTAATCTAGCCGATTATGCAGAGGATTATCGCGTTCTCTGGAAGGAGGCAGATGAAACATTTCATGAACATCGCATTATTTTGGACTGTGAGCCAAAATCGTTGAAGGAGCTGCTGAAAATCTCCGTCGATTTCAAGCTTCAAGGCCCATTTCGCGTGAGTATTTAAAATTGTTTGCTTTTGCAGCGAGCCTAAAGAATCTTAACATGCAGAACTGGTTTCTCACCCATCTGGATACGCACAGTTCGGGCTTGAAGGATATTTATAATGAAGACTTCAAGGCGAACATAACATCGGTACGCTTGAAAATTGTCGATCCCAATCCCTATGAGCGCAAGAAAACGCGCATCACCAAAGTGGATGTGAGTAGCGCCCATTAAAATGAAGATTTCAGTTTCACTTTACCAAAGTATTTTGCCAACTATGTAGCAAATACTTGGCAGCCAAATGATGTTGCCCGTACTTATCTATGATGCGGTTGTGCTGTTCGCCAACTCGGCGCGCAATGTGATCGCTTCCATGGAACAGTTTTATCCGCCCAACAGCCACTGCGGCTTGGGCTACAGCAATACCTGGGTAATGGGCGGCTATATTGTGCAAGAAATGAAAACCATATCGGAGGATGATGTTGAGCCGCATTTCAAAACCGAGAATATGAAAATTAATGAGTATGGACAGCGCACACATTTCAATCTGGAGATCTATAAGCCTACGGTTAATGAACCCTTGATGGTCTGGACGCCAGATAATGGCATTAAAATACGTCGACTGAATCCGGAGCTGGAAAACTCGGCAGCCACGCCGGATTTCTCGGTGCAGCGCAAGGTCTACACGGTGGTGACACATCACGAGGAGCCGTACTTTATGATGAAGTAGGTTTTAACTGGCATATTATTTGATAAACATATACTATTTGGTCTTGTTTGCAGGCAAGATCACGAGAACTATAGGGGACAGGAAAAGTATGAGGGCTATGCTGTCGATTTGATTAGAAAGCTGTCCGAGCTTATGGAGTTCGATTATGAGTTCATGATTGTCAATGGCAACGGCAAATACAATCCGGAGACCAAGCAATGGGATGGCATTATACGCAAGCTCATAGATCATGTGAGTTGTGTGTTTCTTAAATTGATTCTGTTAGTTTTTGTTCAATAATACATTTGTATGTTTTAGCATGCCCAAATTGGTGTCTGCGACCTGACGATTACTCAGCTGCGCCGTTCGGCAGTGGATTTTACGGTGCCCTTTATGCAGCTGGGCATTAGCATATTGCATTACAAGAGTCCGCCGGAACAAAAGAATCCATTTGCTTTCTTGGAGCCCTTTGCACCAGAGGTCTGGATCTATATGATTTTTGCGCAGCTCGTGATGACGTTGGCCTTTGTGCTGATTGCCAGGTGAGCTGTGATGCTGTTGATTCTCTTTCTGATTTTAATTGAAATAACTATTACTTAGACTCTCCTATCGCGAGTGGATGCCGCCAAATCCGGCTATTGTCGATCCAGATGAGTTGGAGAATATTTGGAATGTGAATAACAGCTGCTGGCTTATGGTGGGCTCCATAATGCAACAGGGCTGCGATATATTGCCCAGGTTTGACAGGCAGGAAAAGAATTCGACAAAAATTTAAGGCTCTTGTGTATTCTAGGGGTCCACACATGCGTATTTTAACTGGCATGTGGTGGTTCTTTGCACTAATGATGCTCAGCACTTATACAGCCAATTTGGCTGCCTTTTTGACCAGCAACAAGTGGCAGAGCACCATCAAGAGTTTGCAGGATCTGATTGAACAAGATGAGGTCAAGTTTGGCAGCATGCGCGGCGGCAGCACCTCGTTATTCTTCTCCGAATCGAACGACACGGACTATCAGCGTGCCTGGAATCAAATGAAAGGCTTCAATCCCTCTGCATTTACCAGCAACAACAAGGAGGGCGTCGATCGTGTACGCAAGGAGAAGGGCAACTATGCCTTCCTAATGGAAACCACCAGCATGACCTACAACATTGAACGCCACTGCGATTTGCGACAGATTGGCGGGCAGATTGGTGAAAAGCATTACGGCCTGGCAGTGCCATTGGGTAAGCTAAGAGTTTATGTGTTGTGTTAGCTATAAGAGAAATGTATGTAACAGGCAGAAGTAGGCATCTCCGAGCATGT